TATGGGTAACAGTGACATAGATCTCCTCTTGAATTTACAGGTGATGTCATGATGTTCGGACTAAGCCCTCAGCTACCAGTTCTTTGTGAATGGGAAAAAGTTGATGCACAGCTCATACAGGTAGGCTGATTGAAGGAGAAAATTCTTGGGAAATGGTCTGGATACAACCTTGGTGACAGGGTCACCTGCCCCCCTTCCTGTATCATTACCCAGGTCGTTACAACACAAAAGACTAATGGGCACACAGCCAGCACCTCAGCTACTCAGGATGTTACGAAACAGCCAAACAATCCGCAAACAATAACTCCAACACAGCCAACCAATCCACCGACAGCAACTAAGCCAGCACTCCACACATCCCCACCAATATTTACAGAGAGACAGCAGCTCCGATCACACTTTGCTCGCACAAGCACGAAGGCGAAGACCCCAGCCTGAAGATGACAAGTGGGACCTCGTTGAAACTTCGCCAAGATACTCTCAATCTTACACGGGAAAAGACCCGAATACGCCAAGATATATATCTCCCCTCACCGTGATTATCTCAGTGCCTTTTGCAAGGAAAGACACTCCGCGCAAGCAAAACCAATACCTGGTATTGTATTAGCCTTTGGTGTCTAAATATTGTCATTTGTTTCTTCCAGGGTTGTGTAACCTTAGACGAAGTGGCTGTGCTTTTCTCCGAAGAGGAGTGGGCGCTGCTGAATCCCTACCAGAAAGCTCTGCACAGGGAGGTCATGGAGCAGATCAGCGGGATTGTGGCCTCTCTTGGTAAGGGATCCATCTTTCTTTTATAATAAACACCAATCACTTTCTAAGGGATATGTTTAAATATTAAATTAGCCATATTTCAGAGGCAGAGGTCCAGCCGACTTTGTCCGATATCAGAAAAGATTAGCCGCATTCACACAACCTATACAGATACGGTGTTGAATAGGAATTTAATAAATCTAATGATTCTCTGGAAGAAATGTATGTTCAGAGGATGCAGTTACCTCAGGAGGCCTTCAAAGTCCACCCAAAGCCACAAAGGGCATGCTTGGCTATTTCTATACTTCTTTGTCTTATCTACTGGGTCCCAGCGTTTCTTATGGGGAAAAGTGATAGCTAAGAAAATTATAAATACGTGTCTTATTCTCTGTTCAGGGTTCCCTCTTACTTTGAGGGACCCGTCTTTATTCAGCTGAATAAACGCGTATAGCTTATCAAGGCAAACACTGGGACTCTGTCTTTATTGTACCGAGCCACACCTGAAAACTGGCAGAACAGGTAGTCCTCAACTTACGACCACAACAGAGTCCAGAATTTCTGTTGCTAAGCGAGACAGTTTTTACGTGAATTTTGCAACTTTTCTTGCCTGCGTTGTTAAGTGAATCATTGCAATGGTTAAGTTAGTAACACCGTTGTTAAGTGAATCTGGCTTCCCCATTGACTTTGCTTGTCAGAAGTTCACAAAGAGGGAAATCACATGATCCCAGGACACAGCAACCGTCATAAATATGAATCAGTTGTCTGAATTTTGATCCGGTGACCATGGAGATGCTGCAACAGTTATAAGTGTGAAAGAGGCTCATAAGTCACTATTTTCGCTGCGGTTGTAACTTCAACAATCACTAAACAAACTGTTGTAAGTGGAGGACTACCTGTATACACAGACCTGGGAATTGAATCCAGTTCCCCATCAGCCAGTCCAGTAGCCTACTCATTTCAGTCCCCCTATTCACAACCAGTGGAACAACCTGCCTCCAGAAGCTGTGAATGCTCCAACACTGGAGGTTTTTAAGGAGAGACTGGACAGCCATTTGTCTGAAATGGTATAAGGTTTCCTGCCTGAGCAGGGGACTAGATGACCTCCAAGGTCCCTTCCAACTTTATTATTATTACTACTATTATTATTATTGTTGTTGTTGTTGTCTCCTGTCAATATCTCTGAAATATGTGATAAGATCATCCCGCTTCCCATCTTCAATGTTTTCCGTTCTTCCATCCACCTAAATCTCTCATTTGGATTATTTCATGAGAGGAAGCGTAATTACAAACTTAAGTTGTGATCGATTTTTTCCCCCTTTCTTTCACAAGGTGATGAAAGGAAGGCCAAAACTGACAGTCGGTCAATGCAAGAAAGAATCCTTGTACGAAGGAAACATCGGATTTCTGGAAAGGGCTTCAATCAGAGGGCAAAATCAGATGGAGATCCATTCTCACACACCGGAGACAAACCCCATCAATGTTCAGAGTGCGGAAAGGGCTTCCACCGGAAGAAAAACCTAGCGGTTCATAAAAAGACTCACCCGAGGGAGAAACCCTATAAATGCTCAGAGTGCGAGAGATTTTTCAGCTCCAGCTCAGCCATCGCTCGGCATCACAGGACTCACACAGGGGAGAGGCCTTATACGTGCCTGGAGTGTGGGAAACACTTCCTTTACAGTTCAGACCTGATTAGACACGGAAGGAAACACACGGGAGAGAAACCCTACCAGTGTGCCGAGTGTGGAAAACGTTTCCTCCGCAACACAAAGCTGATTGTCCATCGAAGGACGCATACGGGAGAGAGGCCCTATAAATGCCTGGAGTGTGGGAAGTGTTTTACCGAGAGCGCTCAGTTAAGCAGGCATCAGGTAACTCACACCGGGGAGAGGCCCTACAAATGCCACCTCACGCTTTTCACGAAGTTGGCCTTCCTTTTGGACTGGGAGGTAGTTGCGTGAGTGTGTCCCCTCTTTGGGATAGTTACGAGTCTTACGCCCTTTTCGAAGTGAACCTTGAGGGTCGATTGATCTGTAGTTTAGAGCGTGTGACCTCTCTCCGGCATATGGACGGACCTGACACCCTTTAGGAAACAGACGTCGAGGGAGCTCCTAATCCACGAAAGGAATCACACAGGAGAGAAGCCCTATCAATGCCTGGAGTGCGGGAAGTGCTTTGTTTGTAACACGCAACTCAGCATCCATCGGAGAACCCACACCGGAGAGAGACCCTACAAATGTCCAGAGTGCGAAAAATGCTTCAATCGGAAAGAAAATCTTGCTATCCATCAGCGTACTCACACGGGGGAAAAGCCCTACAAGTGCTCAGATTGTGGGAAGTGCTTCAGTTGGAACTCACAACTGGGTAGACACCAACGAGCTCACACTGGCGAGAGGCCCTTTGCTTGTCTGGAGTGTGGGAAACGCTTCCTTTGCAGTTCGGACCTGATCAGGCACGGAAGAAATCATACAGGAGAGAAACCTTACAAGTGCTCGGAGTGTGGAAAGTGTTACATTTGTAATACCCAGCTGAGTATACACCAGAGGACTCACACGGGGGAGAAACCCTATAAATGCTTGGAGTGTGGAAAAAGTTTCAGCGAGAATAGCTCCCTCACTTCCCATTACCGGATCCATACTGGAGAGAAGCCCTATAAATGTCTGGAGTGCAAAAAATGCTTTGCTCGTGGTTCTGACCTTATTAAACATGAAAAAATTCACACGGGGAAGAAACCCTACCAAGTTACGGACTGTAGAAAGAAGAACTTTCACCAGAAGGCATGTAAGAATTCAGACTAGGGAGAAAACAGACTGAGTGTCATGTGTCTGATTAACGAAACACTTAAAAGGACTTTCAGGCATATTTTTCCCTAAAAGTATTTATTAAGGTTACAGAGACGTCAGTACAGCATGGTGGAAATGCTTAGATCTGGATCCTTTTCGGTTACGCATATACATTCCAAGCATTTCCCACCCCCTTATTTTGGGGTCATGGTTCACATCTTCCAATCAACTTGGAAGATGTGATTTACTTCCAGTTTCTTTCTCCCGGGCTATCCTTATTCTCCTCCCTTTTTCCCTGTTGCCTGGTTTAACTATAAAAATACCAGACAGTTCTGCATATTGTCAAAGCAAGAATATACAGTATTTGCAGTGTTGACACTGAGGATATAGGATGTCAAAAAGGTTTATCTTCTGAGCTAGCCGTTTTTAATCAGTGGGACGATTTGTCTCCAGAAGTTCTGGGTGCTCAAACACTGGAGTTTTTAAGAAGAAATTGGACACTCATTTGTCTGAAATGGTATAGGGTTTCCTGCTTGAGCAGGGGGCTGGACTAGAACAGGGCTTTTCAACCTTTTCACCCATTGTACCACTTTTAGGATATGGCAATATCCGAGTACCATCAGTCGCCTAGCAAGGTGTCAAAAACTTGATGACCAAAAAAAAAGAGGAAAAAAGTGATAAAGTACAGGTAGTCCTCGACTTACTACAGTTTGCTTAGTGACTGTTCAAAGTTACAATGGCACTGAAAAAAGTGCCCCCCAAGCCACAGCCGAGCAAGACACCTGCCTGCCCACCCGGTGGCGCTCTTCCTCCTGTCCGAGGTTTTCATTGTTGCGAGCATTTCTGTTGAGGATTGGCAGCGAGGGTGGGGTGGGGAGGTGTTTGGTTTTTATTCCCCCCGTCTGCTGGGTGGTTGCAGCAGGTTTTGGTCACTTCACATGATCCTAGGACACTGTGACCGTCATAAATATGAACCAGTTGCCAAGCATCTGAATGTAAATCACAAGAGCCTGGAGATGCTGCAACATTCCAGCTGATTGGTGCTTCTTCTGGGCTCAGCAGAATCGCCAGGATCAGCGCCGGGTTCCAGCTGATTGATGCTTCATCAGGGCTCAGCAGAAGCACCAGGATCAGTGCCGAGCTCCAGCTGGAGCCTGGCGCTGATCCTGACGCTTCCCCTGAGCCCTGACAGTCCTGAAGAAGCACCGATCAGCTGGAAAGCAGCATGGATCCTGGTGCTTCCACTGAGCCCTGACAGGCCTGCAGCTCCAGCCATCTCTCACTCAGGTTTGTGCGGTGCTGCCACCGGTTCAGCTCATTCCCTTCCCCTGCTACCACTTTTCTAGGATGGTCGCGTACCACCTGCCAGGTGCCAATGTACCACAGATGGTACCCATACCACTGGTTGAAAAGCCCTGGACTAGAAGACCTTCAAGGTCCCTTCTATTGTTATTTTTGTTCTGTCCTTCTGAAATGTGCAAACAAAAGCATTTTTGAGTTTCTGTCGCAGCACGAAGAGATGAGATCACGTACCGGTGTACAGAAAAGGTTTCTCTCTTAGGATGTTGTTTTAAAATTTATTAGAATAAATTAAAATTTATAATCTCCCCACCCAATTGTAGAAGGAAAAAACAAGAAATTTCTCATAACTCTAGTTTCCACCCCCCCTCCTTAATGGAGATTCTCAGTCATCCAGGTCATGGTTGTCCCAAACGTGCTTTTTTCATAAGACAACTGGACTTCCTTTGTTTTTCTTTGAAGACATTTCTCTTCTCATCCAAGAAGCTTCTTCAGGAGAAGTGAAATATCTTCAAGGAAAAAACAAGTCCAGTTGCCTCTTCAAAAAGCACCTTTGGGACTCCCCCCCCCCCGTCCCTTAATGCTGATATTAATGCTAATATACTCCGCTAAATGTCGAAGTGCATTGATGTATCCCATTGAATTCATGGTTTGTATTAACAAGAATGAATTGGTGACTATCTCTTTTCCTGACCAATATTTCAATAAAGTAAAGAAGACCAACACTCCAGAAGACAGGCTTAGGATACAGGAGGATCTGGACAGACTTGAACACTGGGCGCTATCTAACAAAATGAAATTCAATGGTGAAAAAAGTAAGGTTCTACATTCAGGCAAGAAAAACCAAATGTACAGGTATAGTATAGGGGGTACCTTGCTCAATAATAGTAACTGTGAGAGGGACCTCGGAGTCCTAGTGGACAATCACTTAAATATGAGCCAGCAGTGTGCTGCAGCTGCCAAAAAGGCCAACACAGTGCTGGGCTGCATTAACAGAGGGATAGAATCAAGATCACGTGAAGTGGTAAGGCCACACTTGGAATACTGCATCCAGTTTTGGTCACCACGATGTAAAAAATATGTTGAGACTCTAGAAAGAGTACAGAGAAGAGCAACAAAGATGATCAGGGGACTGGAGGCTAAAACATATAAGGAACGGTTGCTGGAATTGGGTATGTCTAGTTTAATGAAGAGAAGGACGAGGGGGAACATGATAGCAGTCTTCCAATATCTCAGGGGCTGCCCCAAAGAAGAGGGAGTCAAGCTATTCTCCAAGGCTCCTGAAGGCAGGACAAGAAGCAACGGGTGGAAACTAATCAGGGAGAGAAGCAACCTAGAACTAAGACGAAACTTCCTGACAGTTAGAACAATTAACCAGTGGAACAACCTGCCTCCAGAAGTGGTGAATGCTCCAACACTGGAAGTTTTTAAGAAAAGACTGGACAGCCATTTCTCTGAAATGGTATAGGGTTTCCTGCCTGAGCAGGTGGTTGGACTAGATGACCTCCAAAGTCCCTTCCAACTTTATTATTATTATTATTATTATTATTATTATTATTATTATTATTATTATTATTATTATTATTATTAAATCATGCTTTTTTTAAAAAAAATTGGAAAGTGTAAAAGAAAAGAAACCCTAAGCAAGTTTCTGCATCCCTCAGGATGGAAAATCAAGAGGTATAAGGAGCCTGGGGTTGAGAGCTGAGGCCTATTTCTTGTTAAGTTGTTATCATAAGTATAAGCCAGGTTGATAACAATGCTTAAAGCATCAGGCTCAACATCAGGAGAATGTGAGTTTTAGTCCTGCCAGTCCCTCTCTAATCCTTAAGCGGAATGCAAGGATGAAATTTGTCTTTTTTTAAATAATACAGATAGTCCTTGACTAACGACCACAATTGAGCCCAAGATTTATGTTGCTAAGCGAGACATTTGTTAGGTGAATCACTGCAGTTATTAAATCGGTAACAGTTGTTAAGTGAAACTGGTTTCCCCATTGATTTTGTTTGTCTGAAAGTTGCAAAACATGATCATACAACCCCAGAAGCTGCCACCGCCATAAATATGAACCAGTGGCCAAGCTTTTTCATCTTGACCACATGACCCATCAGAGAAGCTGCAATGCCGGTAAGCGTGAAAAATGGTCATGTCACTTTTTTCAGTACCGTTGTAATTTTGAACGGTCACTAATTGGACTGTTGTAAATCGAGGACTACCTGTAATTTTATTAAAGTTTACAACGCAGAGATAAACTAATACCAGTGATAAACTAATACCAGTAATACGGCTGACACTGGACGACCAGTTGACGGCTGTGGCCAGGGGGGCGTTTTACCGGGTACGCCTGGTGCACCAGTTGCGGCCTTTTCTGGACTGGGATGCCTTGCGCACAGTCACCCATGCTCTTGTCACCTCCCGCCTGGACTACTGTAATGCTCTCTACATGGGGCTTCCCTTGAGGAGCACTCAGAGGCTCCAGTTAGTTCAGAATGCGGCCGCGCGGGCAGTGAGTCGCTCCCATGTAACGCCGCTGCTGCGCGAGCTGCACTGGCTGCCTGTGGTCTTCCGAGTGAGCTTCAAGGTGCTGATTATCACCTTTAAAGCGCGCCATGGCATCGGACCTGGTTACCTCCAAGACCGCCTTCTGCCACAGATTACCTCCCACCGGCCGATAGCGAGGGTGTCTCTCCCGGAGGAGTCCCACGGCGGTTGGTCTGTCACAGCCAACCGCTGGGGGTCCCCCTCTCGGAAGAGACAGCCTCGCGGGTGGGAGACCTTGCTCGACGGGGGTCTCTAGGCCCACTAAGGCCTAGAGGGGAGGAAGGCGGGCACCCTCAAGACTTGGCTGTTTCAGCAGGCAGGACTGGCCTAGGTATTTTAATTGGTTTTAACAAAATTTTAATAGAGCGGCCAAATTCAAATATTTATTTTTAATTATTTTAGATTTGTATTTGGTATTTATGTGGGATTGTTTTAAACTGGCTGTAAGCCGCCCTGAGTCCTCCGGGAGAAGGGCGGGGTATAAATGAAATAAATAAATAAATAAATAAATATAAAAAAGTTCAGAAAAATAAGAAAAGAGAACAGAAAAAAGAGGAAATATAAAAGATGACTCTCCCTCCAACCAGTATAAATAATTATAACACCTTCTCTGGTACTTAATTTTTTTTTAACTCTAATAACTCATCCTATATTAACAATCAGATTACAAGAAACTCATCATTGAATCCTAATCAGCCAAAGCCCATTAAGAAATATTAACATATATTTTAATCTTAATCAAAAATTCAATTTTATAATCCCTGCTTATCCCTGTCTCTATGAAACAAAGCAGAAGAAATTTCTCCCCACTTATAAATAAATCTTTGAAGCCGTGTCACAGACCTCTGGTCAAAAAAGCAGCCCCATTAACAGCTACCAGAAATTGTAATCTTGTGGAAAACGAAAGAACTCTTACGAATTCCAGAGGGGTTTAGCAGAGAAGTTTATTTGCGCAGGTTCAGAGGATATAGAAATAGGCAATTCTGAACGAGGAGGGCGGGATTAGACTTCAGTTTTTATACTA